CCCTCTGAAACCCGTTTCTAAATGCAGCGCTGCAATGTAGCGAACCGTTTCTAAACGTTTGCTGCAAGAGGTCGCTGCAGCGAAGATAAAGCAGCTTTTACGTCCGCTACACGTGTAAAGCAAAATGGACGCTTGTGTGTATAATACGATATTATGCTGTAAAAATAAAAAAGTCGAAGTGACTGTTAATAAAAATATTATGGAAAGATTAAGAAGGATTAAATTTTATGAAATGACTCTGAAAGTTATCTAAAGAATAAGAAAATACTATATTTTAAATATAATTATATATCTTTTATCTCTTTACTTTGTTCACATTTATGGAAAGATAAATGCTCGATTCTTTATATCTCTTTATTTAAATATTGTAGTTCTTTAACTAAAGCACTATTTTCGGATGTATCTGGAATTAAAGAATAGCTTATGACGTCCGTGTTTCGCTCGAGCGGAAAGCGTTTCTAAACTATGATGCAGCGACGTGTAGCGATAGCTGCTCATGACGTCATTTACGCTGCACTCTCGCTGCATAAAGAAACGCAGCCGAACTATCCATCAACTGCAACTCTCTGTAAAGAGGATGCCAAGTGAATGAATGCCAATTATGTCATACAATTTCATATCTACATAAGAAAAATATATCACTGCACTAATTCACTTTTAACAATTAAATGACAATAATTTTGATTAAAAATGCTGGTCATATATTTAAAATAATTTAAATATTATAAAAAAGTAAAAATATGATTAAACAAAGCCTATAAAGAAAGGACAGAAATTGTTGTAAAGCTTCCAACCATAATTTTAAAAAAAATGGTGACAAACTAATTATGTTTAATCTGAATTTTATCTTTTATAAATACTTAAAATTAAATGACAGTTGAACTTGAAAGAAAAAGAAAACAATCAAATGATGATTAATAATTCCACAAATGTGCATGTGCTTTATTATCATTGATATTTTCATAACAAATTTTCACATTTATATATTGTAATTCTCCATTTGTTATCAAAATTATATTTACTTTTTATTATACATTATTTTTATTTTTATATACATGTAATTTTTATTTAAACATATTTTTAAATGTTAAGGTAAATTTTCAACTAAGAGACAGTTCATTTTTACTTCCAAGTTTAGTTTTGGAAAATTTCAAACAATGAATCACTTGTATCAATTGAAGACTAAAACAATAAATGCAAACTAAAATAAAAATTAAAATTTAATGTCTCACACCCATCAGTGTCCAAGATTTATAAATTCAATCTCACCACGGTTCAAGAGTGATTTTAAATATAGCACAGCATTTTTTCCACTGCAGCATAAGGCTGAGAAGAATTTTAACTTGGCTATGCAATAATTACTAAATTATGTACAATTTTAGTAATACATTAAATTTTACCATTTTTTAATTTCTTAAGTTTCATTTTTTTTAATTTTTAACAAATATTGTTAACTATAAAATAATCAAAATAAATTTCAGTGAGATGCTTTCAACATGAATAATAATGTAATACAGTAGAGCNTTTATTTATTTATTGTTAGAATGTAAATATAAATTTATAATTTAAAGAAGGAATATTTCTTTATAATTTTCAACTTGAAAATTTCTGTAATGAAAAATAATCAAATTGTAACATACAGAGGCATGTGAAGATGTTTCAAAAAGATAAAAGAATATAGAAACTGGAATTTTAATGAATTGAAATTATAAACCTAAAAATGGCTTGTAAAGTGTTGATGGATTTGCAGGTGTTTAATTATTTTTTGATAGATTATTTTTTTGGCTTTTCTAATGAAAAGCCAAAATTTTGTTTTAAAATAAATATTTTCAGGAATTTTAAGTGAAAGTGAATGTGTTGATTTTTTGCATATTAAAATGATCAAAGATTTTGGTTCCTTTATATTTACATAAATTTTGTGTTTTATCTTAGGGTTATAAGCATAAGGATGCATTTCTTGTAACACAAATGCCTCTTCCTCACACTATTATAGATTTCTGGAAGATGATATACGATTANAATTAGAATTCCTGAAAATATTTATTTAAAATAAAATTTTAGCTTTTCTAATTCCTATAAAAGTTTACTTAACTGAAATTCTAAGTTAAACTGAATGTTTTGATTTCTTTTGTAATATTATTAAAGGAATCAAACATTTTGGTTCCTTCTTTATTTACATAAAATTTCTGTTTTTTTATCTTAGGGTTATAAGCATAAGGATGCATTTCTTGTAACACAAATGCCTCTTCCTCACACTATTGTAGATTTCTGGAAGATGATATACGATTATAATTCACCTCTCATTGTGATGTTAAATGACGGTAAAAGAACAGACGATCCGGTAAGATTCTCTGCCTTAAAAGAAAATTAAATAGAAATTCTTTTCATCTCATTTATTTCAAATTTAGTCCATTGGACAATACTGGCCAACTGAAGGTTTAGCAAGATATCATTTTTACGAAGTTCAAGTCGTGACTTTTGAAGATCACGGCACTGTTATTGTGCGAACCATTAAACTTATCAATACTATGAATGTGAGTTAATATTGTAAAATTAAATTATTTTAGATGTGCAAGATTTCAACATAATTTTATATTAATCAGTCCAGAGAATCTCCTCATAGAGTTGTTCAGTTGCAATTTAAGGAATGGCCACACGATCAGATTCTTCCGAGTTCTGCTTCCATGCTGGCATTACTAAACCAAGTTGATCGCTGGTATCGTGGAACAACTGGTGGCCCAATCACCATTCACTGCCTGTAAGTGTCTGGGTTGTCTTTTGATATCTTGTAAACATTCTAATAGATATGTATATTTTTAGGAATGGAGCTGAAAGATGTGGTCTATTTTGCATTACTAGTTATATCTGTGATCAGTTGAAAACAGAACACGCACTCGATGTTTTTAATACTGTAAAAAAGTTAAGAGCTAATCGACCCGAATTCATTACTTCTCTGGTATAAAATTAATACTATAATCTTAGATTTTATTATTTTAATAAGTCTAATTTGATTAACTTTTAATTTTATTTACAGGAACAATACAGATTTTGCTATCAGATTGCACTAGAACTCATAGATTCATATTTGTTACACAGATTAAATTAAAATTTTTACATTTGATGGATTTTCATACAAATTTATAGGAAATTCTCATGTGTTTTTAATGATTGATATGGCATAAACATCTTTTGTTGTAATAAATAAATGTTAAAAAATTTTCAAACATTCCAGATGGATTTTAAGTCTTAGGTGCAAAACATAAGTATTATCATAAATTTAGTAGTCTACAGGCTTAATTGTAATAAATCGAGAGAGAATAAATGCAATTACAAATGTGGAAAGAGTAACAATAACTGCAAATATGTAGAATGTTTCTTCATCAAAAACATCTACAAAAGCAGGTAGACTATCATAAATTTTGTTAAAGAGATTCAACTCTGACTTATATGAAGTCTTCATTTTCTTCTAGTGAATGAATATTCGTCAATCTTTTCTTGTGGAGTGTGTTTTTGAAGAATTTTATGGAATTCTTGAACAACTTCAAGAGATGTTAAATTTCCTGTTTTAAATAAATATTTATGGCCAGAATCTGCAAGAAAAAAAGCAAATCAATACTCAAATATTTGTATATTGGTATAAGTACAATTTTAATCTAATATTTGAATGAAATCCTACAGATGTAAATAATCCTTTACATTTCAAATGATGAAATTTCAAACTTAATTTTATTAATTAATGTATAAAGTAAAAATCTTTAAGTTATGAATTATATCAGAAAAACTGAAATAATCACATGGAATAAACCTAATTCAATAAATTATAAAAACTACTAAATTTTGTAGGCAGAATTCTACAATAGATAAAATTCTTGTTGTAATAATTCTGCTCATGTGTTAATCTCTAAGGCTTATTTATAGCTATGAAATAAAATTATTCAAATAACTGAATAAAAATTTCATATTAATAATTTTTAGTTTTATTTTTTAAATGGAAATACTTATTATTATTATTATTATTAAATATGGAATTCATATTTTATTCAGTATCAACAAAAATCTTATTTAGTTTTAAAAATCTTAATTCAGTTTACAATGATCTTATTTCAATGTGATTTAAAATTATCTATAGAAAACTATCAATTGAAAGTCTAAATACACTTTGTAATTTCCAAACATTGTCATTTATGAACTATGTTGTAATATTTTTTTTAATATTAATTGTGTTTGTTTTAATTTGTTTATACCTAAATATTAATAAACTATAATCAGAGATTGATTTTTAAATAGTGTAAAGACAGCTGTTTATTCTTCTTTTAATTTGGTTATTTATCTTACCTTCACACCTTAAGTGAAGAATATGATAGTAAGGTTTATTGGTTTCGAAAAACCAGTTTTTTGAAGAAATTTATATAATTTGAAAACTAGGTTTTCCAACTGAAAACCCAGTTTTTGAGCCTAGACTTTAATAAATTAAAATTTGTGTTTTTTGATTAAAAACATCAACATTTTCACACAAAATCGTCTCTGGCATAAAAACGGGAATATTGTTAAATACTGTTTCATAAAACTAACTAGAAAAACAAAAATCTCCCTACTCCTAAAAAGGGTCCAATTCTCCCTACAATATAGAGAAATCTTGCAACAATGGAAAAAAACAATAGAAAGATTTGTGCACTTAAAAGAATGTGTTGTTTTAGCTTTGAATGACATCGATGCTTCTCACACGTGGAATGAAGCAGAGTATTGTAAAATTGTAGAGCTCCTTAAAGTTTTAGGACCACTATGCTTAGTAGCTGATACCTTAGGACAACAGGATAATAAATAGGATGACAAGATTTGCATCTTGTCATCCTATTTATTAACAATTGAAGGCATATTTGAATTTCTGTTATGTGAATTGAAAAATTTGAAAGCTGAAATTAGTTCCAAGTTGTTACATGCTGTAGAGATATGAATTCAAGAGAGAAGACAGACGGGATTAGTAATACTTCTTTATTTACAAAATCAACAGAACATTTGGACAAAGTCTTCTATTGTATTTCTTCTGCTGGTAGCAAAATCTGATATCATTAAGTTATCTGAACAAATATTATTCCAAGATTATATCCAAATTATTCTATAGAAGATGACTGTGATGATGAAAAAGTGGCAAAGAAGAAATCAAGCATAAAAATCAATACATAAATATCTTTGAGAACCTGAAGTGACTTTGTCCAGCCCTATAAGACAGTAAAAAAAGGAGTTTCTAGTATTAGAGGGTACAAACAGAAGAATGAAAAATTTAGATTTATTATTTAATGCTTAAATAAGGACACAGTTGAGCAATAGATCTATAGGCATTCTTTATGTTCTAAAATAATATTTTATAGGCATTCATTGTTGTTCATTTTTCTTTATGGTTTTCTATGGAGTAAATTTTATAATTTAATGTGGTAATCTAGCATCTTTTTTTCTGTTTTGTTTTGTGTAGATGTTGGTCGATTTTATTTTGTTATATTTTTGAAATTTTATAAATATTAAATAAATAAAAAAGTTTTAAAACAAGTTGTAAACATCCCTTCTCTCTATTTTGGGGGGGTGAAAATTTGAAAACCGGTTTCATAGAAAAGTAGATATTTGAAAAGCGGTTTTTTGTATAAACCCTATGATAGTAGCAGGGAACATTCTAGCTTAGGAGACCAGAGCATAGGAAGAATGATTCACAAGTGTGAATTTAATTGACAAATGCAGAACTTATGCATCTTTAGAACTTAAAAAAAAAAAAAAAAAGGAAAATAAAATTTACTAATAATTCCATACAGAAGATGAGCTAT